GGATATATTCACAGAGCAGCACATGCTAAACAATTCCAAGGGAAAGGAGCCCACAAATATCAAAGGCAAACACAATGAAGGAGTGAGCAAAACAGGTTGGGATCATTTGAAAGGAAAATTGTTACTAAGAGAGAAAATCCTTTCCAACCCAATAGTTGTATGTAAAGGAAGTCCAGGTCCTGCCCTTTTTAATTTTTTTTATTGGTTGTTCAAAACATTACAAAGCTCTTGACATATCATATTTCATACATTTGATTCAAGTGGGTTATAAACTCCCATTTTTACCCCGTATACAGATTGCAGAATCACATCAGTTACACATCCACATTTTTACATATTGCCATACTAGTGACTGTTGTATTCTGCTACCTTTCCTATCCTCTACTATCCCCCCTCCCCTCCCCTCCCCTCCCATCTTCTCTCTCTACCCCATCTACTGTAATTCATTTCTCTCCCTTGTTTTTTTATTTTTTCCCTTTCCCCTCACATCCTCTTATATGTAATTTTGTAATATCTTATATATTCAATTAATTCTCTAAAGTGTCCTTGCTTGAACAATGGAAATGTCTTAGATATACAGTAGTCCTCCCTTAAACAAGGTTTCGCTTTCCATGGTTTCAGTTACTGTGGTTAACCAATGTCTGAAAATATTAAATCGCAAATTCCAGAAACATACAATTTACAAGTTTTAAAATCTACATGGTTCTGAATAATGTGGTAAAATATAGCACTATTCAACTCCATCCCTTCTAGGACTTGACTCATCTCTTTGTCCAGTATTTTTTATCTACACTGTGTGCTACCTGCCATTAGTCACTTAGCAGMTGTCTCAGGTATCAGACTGACCATTGCACTATTGCTCAGGGCTTGTGAACAGTGTTTGGTACTATCTTGGTTTCAGACACCCATGAGGCATCTTGGAATATATTCTGTAAATATGAGGGGGAATCCACTGTATATCCCCCAGCTCTATGAACTACCAATGATGGCGAAAAGCATGTTTCCTGAAATTTTAACCCTAATTCACATTGGGAGAAAATAATGACATTTAGTACATCAGTGTCTATTTTGAATAAATCAATATGCTAAAGCAAATAAAATATATATAATATATACATATTTATATATAACTATGCATATTTATATTTAAATATATATTATATATTTATAAATATTAAACATACATATATACATGTATATATATTGCAAACATATAGTGATATAACCTTATGTGGCATATCCACACATTCCTAACTGCTTAATCTATGTCCTCATAAGTCATGTGAGAGCATTATTATCACCACTGTTCAAATACCTAACTTGAACCTTGTTTTCTTGGATGCCGCAGCATGCAAATCTATAATCTCAAACTCAGATCCTTGGCAAGGACCTTTCTAGAATTCCCAACAATTCCTTCAATTCTTTGCTGTATCCAGGGTTTTATTGATCAATGTGAATCCCACTCATGACAGCTTTTCTGTGAAATACTAGTCCTCTTAATAGTTTGGTGTTTGGCTCTCTTCTTGTCAACTTGGAGTCAAAATTCAGGCCTAACCTCTCTCTCCTTTTACTATACTAGAAAATTGATAGCCTCTCAAATACTACAAACAATACTTGTCCGAAACTCATCCCCCTCACCGTAGCAGAAACATATCATAAGCATCTCCCAATCCTTCTGAAATAATGTTGTAAGTAATAGGCACACAAGGAAATGATAAGTATTTTTTTTTACCTCAGATTTAAAGGAGGGTATTTTGATATTATTTTCCAGGTAGGGAAACTTACATGATGAAGAATTTCCTTAGTTTGGTTGTTTCTTTTTCTTTCTTAGCTGAATTTTTCAAGGGGTCCAGCTAAGCATTGTTTTGCTGTGGTTCTTTACATAGAGCAATACTAATTGCCCTTGTCTTGCACATCCCTGATAAATGGCAGCATTGCTCTTCTAGGTTCTTCTGCACTCTGGCTGTGTTACTGGCAGTGGTCCTGGGAACCTGGGGGAGTGGGTCACGTTGTGTTTCTCAGCTCTTGTGTGCTTGCACAGAAGATTTTAAGAAGTCATGAAACATAGTGAAAATATGTCGTGTTTAATTAGAAGATAAAGGAGAAGACATGCTCAAGGGAGAAGATGGAACCTCTCAGAGAGKAAAGGGGCCCCTTTGCTCCTTAGTTTTATTGGGGGTTTTAGGGAAGTGTCTAGAGAGTAATACTCAATTACCATGTTTCAACATTTGACTGACAATAGGATTGCATCAGATTTTTAAGTCCCAGCTGTACATGTACCCATGTACCCAAGTAAAATCCATGGATCCATGGTATATGTTGGAGAGGGTGGACTTTACTATTATAATAACATGCTAAAGATTTAAAGGCAACTTTTATTCACAATGGTCCACACTGACCCATCCCAATTGGAGTTTGCTTGTTGTTTTTTGTCTTTGTTTTACACATTTTATGTACAGTGAGCTTTGTTTTTAATTATTCTGTTTCYTTGGGTCTTGGAATCTTTCTTTGGTCTATATAAAGGTCACAAAAGTCCCTCCTTCAGGGTGATTTGTGTTCTTATCAGCAGGGAGGAGTCTTAAATTCCTCTGCCAGAGAACTTAGATTCCTTGGCCCAAAGAATATCTCCAAGGGTAACAGGTTGTTTGTCAAAGAATGTAATGTCCTATTGACTTAAGCTAGAGCAGGGCCAGAATGGCCTTAGGTAAATTTCTTTTTAAAAGAAAGTATGTGGCAGGCCAGCACGTAGGCCCTTATTTCATGTTCCTACTACTTATATCTATCTGCTACCTATCAGCCAGACTTCTCCCCTGTGACTCTTGCTTCTCCATAAGATGGTCCACATTGGATGGAAGAGTACAGGATCTCCCAGAGACACCTTGAGTTTGGCCCCAAGTCACCTTGTATAGGGAACAGAGGCAACAGGAACCTACATTGTAGAAAAAGATGCATCTCTTCCCAGCTCCAAATTCCTTGGGCACCCCATTTTCATTTCCTCTCCTAAAACTGTCTGTGAGCTCTACCTAAGATGGAGATTCCAGTGTTTGTATAAAAATCAGATATCTGGGGAGCTCTCCCACAACAGATACTGAAGTCCTTGAGGCTTCGCCTCATAGTGGTTTGGCCCAGATTTTCTAGGACAACTCACTGCACTGGGGAAAATAAGCTCATCTGGTCACTGAGCTGACAGATGGTAGGGACTCTGATCAAGAATGTCAAGAAAGACTCCACAAAGGGGCTGGGGGATATAGCTCRGTGGGTAGAGTGCTTGCCTTGCATACACAAGGCCCTGAGTTCAACCCCAGCACCACCAAAAAAAACTTCACAGAATATTGCTGCTCCTACCTGTGGCTTTTGGTGGTGCCACAGGGATCTGTCCACCTGGTAGCCTACTCATACTTATGAAGTATGAACATTAAAAGAATCTGGAATGCCTCAGCAGACAGGTGACCTGATTTGAGCCAGCAGAGGAGAATCTGTCAAACTAAATCTTCTTTGGAAAATGTGGGACTTTTCTGGTAGAATCATCCTAGAACCTAATAGCTGAGAAAATTTGGCTGAGAAGATCAAGACTCATCCAAGAAGCTGTCATGGAAACACACATCATCCTGCCCTGATGGCTGGTTGCCAGAGTAGTATGGTTCCAGGTAAGTCACTAGCAAAGAAAAGAGTATTCTTCCTTCTTTGCAACAGAACCTGCAGCCTGGGCTACTAGAGCAAGGTATRATGTAGAATTGGAAGAATACCAGGTTTCTGCTATCTGATGATATTGGTGCTCACTGAATTCTTTCATCCAATCTCCTACTTCGATGAGGTCATTGGGCATTTCATTTGGTATTGAACAGCTATTCCCACATGGTTGCTGTCCATGGCTCCATCTGAGACACTGTCATATTCTTGGTTGACMCAAATAATCACATTCTGGGCTTTTTCCTAGCTTCTCTTGCCTGTTACTGAGATATTAGACTAGATTACTATGCAATAAATACTCTAGAAAGAAGGTTTTTACCAAAAGTACAAAACTTAACTTTTTTGAATATTTTTTTTAGCTGTAGATGGACACAATACCTTTATTTCATTTGTTTATTTGTATGTGGTGCYGAGGATCGAACCCAGTACCTCACATGTGCTAGGCAAGCACTCTACCACCGAGCCACAACCCCAGTCCCCCAACTTAACTTTAATTGGTAGCAACTCCTGTTAGGATACAAGGCATAGCAGTTTTTCTTTTCTGAAACTCTTTCTTCTCTTTGTTCATTTTGTTTCCGTAACTCTTAGGATCATGTAGAGACTAGTCAAATTTCTTCCATTTGATAACTGAGGACAATGTAATCCCCTCAAGACATGTTCAAGGGATGCCAAAGAATCAGTGACAAAGGTGACCTTTGGATTCCTGATTTCAATTTTGGGGTTCTGTCTACTAATCATTTATTTCACTTATCCAATGCAGAAACTAAACTTTAAAATGCCTACTACATGCCATGGGAAATCAGGCTTCTAGTCTTATCTCCCACAGCCGCCCACATGAGCCATCTGTCCAACCATACCAAAATAGCATTGTGTTTTCCAGCTCTGCACCTTTGCTCCTACCCTGTTACTTGCTTAAACTGCTGAACTGCCCTCCCCCAATTCTCTGCTTAATGAAATTTAATCATTCTTTAATCCCAAGCTCAACTGTCCTCTCTTGTATATTGCCTTCTGGATTATTGCAACAGGCAGTAATTTCTCTTGCTCAGAATGCCGTTTAAGGGCTGGGGATATGGCTCAAGCGGTAGCATGCTCGCCTGGCATGTGTGCGGCCCGGGTTCAATCCTCAGCACCACATACAAACAAAGATGTTGTGTCCGCCAAATACTAAAAAATAAATATTAAAATTCTCTCCCTCTTTCTCACTCTCTCTTTAAAAAAAAAAAAAGAATGCCATTTAATAAAAAAGAAAAAGGCAACTGTGGCACCCTCATGCTCTGCCTTGAATAGTAGTGTTTTCCAGATGACTTTTATATCAAGTAAACTGTGAGCCCAAAGAAGGCAGAAGCTGTTTCATGCACCTTACATACTATGCAAGTTTAATATTATTGAATCAGAAAGTAAGATACGGGGAGGGAAAATGGCTTTCCCACAGTTTTGTGCTGTTGAGATTTGAATTCAGAACTCCAGAATCTGATCTCCATGTTCTTTCCACCAAACCATGCTGACAGCAATGCAGTTTCCACTATGATTATCCTCTCTGGAAGCCAAACATGGCTGATAATAGGCTACTTCATATGGAGCCATCTAATCCAATGCAGGTTGAGCTGTCAGAAAGAACAAGAATAGATTGAATGGTTGGGCTTGAAAAACTTAAGTTCCTGTGCCATTGGCTAGCATGAAATTAATAGCCCTTCCCAAGGATGCCTCTTCTTTTCATAAGCTTGAATTGATTCTCACTATGAGGAGCATGAGAATAAAGTATAGAGGTCATATGTGTTTCTAAGGACCAAACCAAGAGAATGGGGGAGTGACCCAGTGTTACCTTTCTTTGACTCATCTATTAACCATTTCCATAAACTGTTTGCCCAAACTGAGCTAGTCATTGTGGATACAGAAACGACACAAAATCTCTATCTTCATGGAGTGCCAACCTCTTGACCATCCATGTTCAATGAAAATAATTTAAGTAAAAATCTTAATTGTCCAGAATAATTTTTCTCACTCTTGATTTTAACTGAAGAGTTGAATTAAGGGTGGAACTCCAGGCATTATTCTATAAATAAATGTACACAGAATCTGTATATTATATATTGACTCAATCTGTATACTGAATTAAAATAAAATAAAATAAAATAAAAGTTTATATTCCCTATGAACCTCTCAGGAAGTTACTTGGAGTAGTAGTTGGAGGCTGAGGCTTCTAAGGAGCTGCTCAAGAACAGCAGATGTTCATTTACCTGCCTTCAAAGAGGCTCTAGAGATCTTGTTCTGATGAGCAGAGGATACATATTTGAGTCAGTSCTAAACTGTTAAAGCCTATCGGTTAAACTCTTAAAGATCCTCTCCTCTTTCCCCCATGCTTGTAGGGTGTCTTTAAATAAGTAATAAGTACATATTTAAAGAAGATGGGTGCAAGCAATACGAAATTGGCCTATATTAAGACTGTTGTCTGTCTTGGTCTAGACTTGTTTATCTGCGTCAATTTACTTATCAAAGGGAATGAACCATTCCTTTGGCAGTAGCAGAGGCCACAGTGCAACCCAGCAGTCTTAACCTAGTCTTGCATCGTATATATTAATATCCCATTGCTAATAGCAATTCATTTCATGTGTTTATTTATTAATGACAATTATCCGCACTGCTCAAATAGCTTCCTCATCCAAACTAAGTTTAGGATGTTAGGTTAAGAATGTCAGTTTTTGGAAGGTGATACTTCTCTGAAGTATATAAATGGGATTCAACAAATTAAACAAAGACCAAAAGTCTATTTCCCACCAGGCACTGTGCTAGGGTATCACCGCATAAGAGTTTGTATAGTTCATTCAGAAGACTACTCTGATAGACAAACCAAGAAATGTCTGGGGGAAGGATAAAAATAATCTTTAGTACATCAGCTTTACTAAGTATGGACATATGCAAAACTGCCTTTACTCCCTTTAACAACTCTTTGTGAGTACTTTATTTATACAGCCATCAAAATCCCTACAGCTTTATTTTGTTCATGTCTCTAGTACTTGTTGGTATTTATAACTCAAGAGTAAGATAGTATATCCTTTTTAATGTTCTAAAATTACTTCTTTTAAAGATCAAGGGCTTCTACTTAAGTTTTAGCAGTGAACCATTTCTGATTGTACATTATATAAATTTCATTTTTCATAAACTTTAATCATGTTCCTTTCAGTCTTTCTCCCACAGTGTTTTACCCTCTGCAGTAGGTCCTCAACCCCTAAATCATTTCTGAGAACTTCATGGAACTTTCCTAGTTATTTATGTTTTTGTTGACATGCCTGGTTTTCAGAASAGTAGGCAATGCCTGTGCAGGAGGTAGGCTACTGTGATTCTATATATATCTGGATTGATGTCTACATAATTTTTAAATAATTAATARTTTAGCATTTCACACAACCATTTATCATTAATTCAGGCTTTTTATCCAGACATTTCCTTGCTGTATGACATTTCTAATTGCAAAAATAAATAAACCAGCCCTACTGCAACAAATATTCTCTACCACATTCCTTTAAAATCTCTCATTGCCACATTCTCTTCCCTCATTTGGGTTTTCTATATACTGTAACTTGGTTACTCATTTAGGTTCTCATAAGCAAACAATACACAAAATAAATGTAACATTTCCTCCTGTAAAACAACACATAGCAAACCCTCTTCTTATTCTCTATGCATCCCCATTTTCTCTTTAACTTGCTTCTGCTCCTGCACTAACCTCCATTTTTTCTTCTGGCCGGAAGGGGTTCTTGTTCATCTTTTCTTCACATGCCATATATTTAAAATATAACAAGAAGAAAATACCTCCCTTCCCCAGTTGAAGTATAGCTAATGCAAGGAGAAATAAATAAGTCTCTTAAAGTCAAATAAATTTTAGTAATTAAGTTCCCTCATGTGGAGGGAACTTAAAAGTAGAGCTTTTGACATTTCACACTTCACAAATGCCAATCCCCAAACTTGAATTTAGGTAATAATTAACTACTTTAAAACTAGATTCTATAATGTCGGAGATGATTTTATTGTGGTGCTTTGTATGYAGGAAACACCTACTAAATACTTGATGGATTCTTACTCTGATAACTACATAAGAAATGTCCCCCCATCCTGTAGGTTGTACATCTTTTAAAAATAAATAAACAAATAAACAAATATTTTGATACATAATATATATGTATATATTTTAACATACTATATATATGTGTGTGTATGTATATATTCATATAATAGTTGTGGATTACTCTTTATTTTTATTTATTTATTTTTATGTGGTGCTGAGAATCAAACCCAGAGCCTYACTAGTGCTAGGCAAATTCTCTACCACTGAGCCCCAGCCCCAGCCCTAGGTTGTGCTTCTTAATGCAGGTGTCTGGTGAGTGTTCAGTTAGTTCTATAAATGTTTTTGATGGAAGGAAGGATGGATGGATGGATGGATGGATGGATGGATGGATGGATGGATGGATGGAGGAAGGAAAGGAAGGAAACTATGTAGTAGACTAGTAAGGAATGAGATGGTCTGTATGGGTTTTAAGTTTTTAGAAGGTAACTGTCCTATAGGACCACCTAAAAGGTCTGTGGGATAGTAATCAGTAGAATTCATATGAATCTGACATATACATTTAATTAAATTCACGAGTTCTACAAAATGATGCTTTTTTTGATGTTTTATTTGTGTATCTTTGAAAATGGCAATACTGAACTCTTTCACTCAGGAGAAGTACATTTGATCTAGTCTAGAGAATCATCACTGACCTACAACTCCCCAAAAAAAGCCTCTACTGAGTTTTCATCCTGAGTTTCTAGTGACAGTTTCAAAGCCAGCAGGACTGCAGATATGTACGTGGGAACCTCTCCTTTACATAATCAGGCCACTGAGTAGGTGGCATCACATTTCAGTGAGTTGAGAGTGAACACAACATTCTCAGGGATAAATGTTGACCGAAGCATAAGCAAGGAGATGGCTGAATCTAATATTCTGAAATAAATGCTCAGTCATTTACCATGAACCCATCTACACTCTAGCTGGGAAGTCAAACACAGAATGTTTCCTCCTTCTATCTTAAACATCTGAATTAGTTGATCAGTCAATACTATTTCAGTTGCTAGTTTTAGAGGCYTTAGATTTATTTTTTACAGTATATACACATAACCAAATGATGAGGTCCAAAACTAGTTTTTTTTTTTTTTTTGGAGGACATAACTAAAAATTCCTTCAGAAGCTCCTTGTTGTTAATAATAAGTCTATTGAAATACAGGAATAAATAAAAACCAACTGTYCTTCTCAGCTGACTTAACTTTTGTAAAAAGTTGAAGAAACACAGACATGTGACCTGTGGTTTGAGAAGTGCCCAAATAAACTTCTTCAACATGTTTGAATCCAAATTTGGCTCTACAGAGATCTGTAGTTTCTGCTTCAAAGATGCTATGGCTTATGGGAGAATTAATATGTATCTGCCTCCCAATTTGGTCTCTAAAAGCCAGCATGCTCCCTGTCCTTTACCTGCATTAATCATCTCCGAGTAGCCCACAACAGTTCTATAAAGATTCTAAAGAATTTAAAATCCCACAAGCCCTTATTTACAAAATTCTTTGATTTTGATTCTGGGATGTATATAGCCTCTTGCATGGATATTCCAATGTTTTCCTTTTACTGTTTAGAAATAGGAAGTCTTCATTAATTTCAAGCAAATGTCCACATGAAGTATATCCTTCTCCAAGAAATTTAGTAATATTTATCAAATTTTAAAAAGAGTAGGAGAATTCCAGAATGATGGCAGAGAAGGAAGCACCTTTCAAAWTTTCCCTTTCACAAAAAGAGGAACCAGACAGAAAAACCAAAAGTTCTTGGAAGTATTTATGATAAAGCTAGGTGACTAAGGAGTTTTATAAACTTGAGAACATTAGCAAGAGGGGATTAGACACAAGACCTGCATGCTATCAACACCAATCATAAAGGAGAGGGAAGAATGTATCTAAATAAATATGAGTACAGCAAAGCCCCCAAATAGCCAAGATCTCCACTGGAAAGTGTAGCAGGCCAACATAGCAGCAGCAGTTGACTCTAGAGGGATTTTGACCTTTTTGATAGTAGATGAGTGCATGGAGCTCAAAGTGAGAACTTGAGGAACTGAAACAGTCTCTCCTCTATGAACTGTTGAGACTGGATAACGAGAGGTATCTTTCCAGGTCAGGGACCTACATTAAGGATAAATTTTTTAGGATTGAACCAAAAGTAAGCTGAGTTAGAGAAATAGAGACCATGAGAAATTTCAGATCGAAAGAGGATACACAGAGTCAGGAAATCCCAGAAAGCTCTTTTTTAAAAAGTTACAAAACAGGGACTTCTATAAAGTTACCTTTTCTGACTTCTAAACAATTCCGCCTTCTGAAAGTTCAGGAAAATTAATTTTACATAGAAACAAACAACCTAAAGTATCAAGCTCAAATCCCACACAAACATTATTTGATAAAAGAGAACAGGAAGTGAGTAAGGCAAATCCTCAGACAAAATCAAACATTAGCAAGAGGGGATAGCCACAAGACCTGCATGCTATCAACACCAATACATTTAGAAAATGAAATAAAAGACATTAGAAAAAGA